GATAATTGGCCCATTATATAATCATTTCAGATTCACGTTCAAGTCAAAACACATATGGGGAGCATACCCAATGACAAAACGTTGCTGTATTTATCCATAAGCACCAGCTAATATACGATATAACAAAATATATAACAATTTGTATATATAAGCGGGTGCTTATAAATACATATATAGGCTAAATTACAGATGTTCGGTTCACAACATTTTTCGTTAAAGCGTTCGACAAATTATGGGCATTTTTCAAATAACGAAATCAAATTTCCACGTGAACAAAATCTCACACGGTACATCCCATGAGATCATCAAACAAGGCCATAGGAGTGCCATCACAGCCAAGCAACCCAAACTTTGGACCGCACAGTAACCCCATAGATCAGGGGTGTCCAAACTACGCCCCGCGGGCCAACTGCGGCCCTCGATCCATTTTTAATTGGCCCGTATCACTGTATTGCACTTCTTAGTTTAAAAACTAGGTGGCGATATTGTCTTGAACAAGGCAGCGTTTCCACAAAGCAAGCAATCGAAGAAAAATTTGTTCAGGGTCACCAGAAATGCCGGAACCGAAGAGACACAAGATTGCAAGCGAGTGCAGAAAATTTCAGACTCGGTGGAAAAATGCATTTTTTTTATAGAAACCAAAAGGGAAGTGTGTTTGTTTGATTTTTAATGAGAGTGTTTCCGTGATGAAAGAGTACAATGTACGACGGCATTATGAAACAAAACATCAGACCTTCACGTCCTACACTGGTGCCGAGCGGAAAGAGAAGGTAAAGCAAATGGCAGCTAGCCTGCTAACGCAGCAGCAGGTTTTTTTTCCGTGCTAACAAAGATCAAGAAAATGCAACAATAACCAGTTATGAAGTAGCTCAACTCATTGCCCTACACGGGAAACCTTTCTCAGACGGTGACTTCATCAAACAGTGCCTCACTAAAGTCGTGGGAATAATGTGCCCGGAGAAAATGCAGGATTCTAGATTTAAAGCTTTCGTGACTGCTAGGATCCATACTCTTTGGTTCTATTGGGTAAAGTCACGTAGGTGAAAATAAAATAACAAAAAATTGTAACAAAAAATCACGACGTTTCGGCCACAACACAAGCGGCCTTCATCAGGTGAAGGGACGAGACTGTCTGGAGGACAGCGCTGGAGTGGAAGAAGCCACGCTCAGATCACGACCTTTAAGCTGTGTGAGAAGAAAAACACCAAGTGCCTTGACAAAGGAATTAGCATTTAATTTAGCATTGAAATGGCTCATTGAAATAGCTAAGTTAAAGTATACACATCCGCAGAGGTACCCCTTGACAAAGGAATTAGCATAGAATTTAGCATTGAAACAGCTGAGTGATTAGCTTGTAACTGGTCACAGAAATAGCTATGTTAAAGTTAGAGCATATACATTCACCGAGGCACCTAGTACTCATCAAACAGGAGAATTTAGCGAAACACAACCACGCTCAGACAGCGGACCTTTAAACTGTGTGCGAGCAAACAAGGTGTTCTGACAAAGAAATTACAGTACCCCGGGGTTTACAAATTGAGTTGTACCTGCGGTGATTGCTATATCGGTGAGACAAAGCGACATGTCTCTGACCGAATTCGCGAGCACAAATCAGATGTGAAACACGGCAAAATGAATTCTTCTGCTGTGGCTGATCACTGTTACACCGCTGTGGGGGATCACGATATAATTTTCTCTGATAGCAAGGTTCTTTGCAAACCCACGGGCTTTTATCAGAGATTTGTTCATGAAGCAATTCAGATCTACAAAACACAGACACAATTTCAACCGAGAGGATGGTTTCAAATTAAGCAACCATTGGAAAGATGTTCTAAATCGAACTAAACATTAAACTAATTTCAATGGTACAGTATATTTTTCAAGTAGTGGTACCCCAAACTTTCGCAGCTCTTATGAATTCCCTTTTCACACCATCAATAGGTAAACTCCCCCTCCCCCCCTTCCCCCCCCCGCGCCAAATGGCAAGTCCACCGGCACGTACACCACCTCTTTCCGAAAATCCGCCAATCAAATGCTAATTTTTATGCTAATTTCTTTGTCAGAACACCTTGTTTGCTCGCACACAGTTTAAAGGTCCGCTGTCTGAGCGTGGTTGTGTTTCGCTAAATTCTCCTGTTTGATGAATACTAGGTGCCTTGGTGAATGTATATGCTCTAACTTTAACATAGCTATTTCTGTGACCAGTTACAAGCTAATCACTCAGCTATTTCAATGCTAAATTCTATGCTAATTCCTTTGTCAAGGGGTACCTCTGCGGATGTGTATACTTTAACTTAGCTATTTCAATGAGCAATTTCAATGCTAAATTATATGCTAATTCCTTTGTCAAGGCGCTTGGTGTTTTTCTTCTCACACAGCTTAAAGGTCGTGATCTGAGCCTGGCTTCTTCCACTCCAGCGCTGTCCTCCAGACAGTCTCATCCCTTCACTTGATGAAGGCCGCTTGTGTTGTGGCCGAAACGTCGTGATTTTTTGTTATTTTATTTTCACCTACGTGACTTTACCCAATAGAACCAAAGAGTATGGATCCTAGCAGTCACGAAAGCTTTAAATCTAGAAGCCTTCAATAGCTGTACCGGGGGAATCTCCATATGGTACAGATATAATGGGAGGCTGATCGATGCCTGGGTGCGGTCAAGGGATGGCTCCCTATTGCTCAACCACGTTATGTATGCCGATGATTTGGTAATAGCTGCTCATTCAGAGGAGGAGTTGGAGACGCTGCTGTTGAGACTGGAGCGTGCTACTAAGAGATCGGGGCTTACCATCAGCCCCACCAAAACCAAGCACCTGCCTGGGTATTTTGTACCATCGGATACTCCACCCCCACAACTCCCAATCGGTGATGGGGCAGTTGTGGAGAGAGTGGAGAGTTTCCCATACCTGGGCAGTGTACTTATGACCGGCTCCAGTTTAACAGCAAAGGTTTCACTCCGAATCAGTTGAGCGGCAATATCTTTTCAACGGTTGCGTAATGCTGTGTGGAAGCTACCTGGTCTGTCGCTCCGCACTAAGCTTCAGGTCTTCTCGGCCACGGTCATTCCCTTCCTTCTCTACGCTTCAGAAACGTGGACCCCCCTAATGGAACATCTTCGCCGGTTAGTAACATTTAGGCTGGCCTGCCTACGATCCATCCTGGGTTTAACCAGGCTGGATTGTGTGAGGAGCTCACAAATCCTTGAAAGATCTGGGCACGGTCCCATCGGTGAGCTCCGGCAGGCAAGGCTGCGTTGGCTGGGTCATGTAGCCTGCATGCCCAGCCACCGCATGCCGAAACAGCTTTTGTTCGGCCGGATCGAGGGGGCTAAACGGGCGCGGCACGGGCTAGAGAAGAGATTTAGTGACGTGGTACAGGAGGACGTGGAGCTGAGTGGACTTGCCGATGACTGGTACTAACGGTGTCAAGATCAGCCTCTGTGGAGGAGGCTCGTGAAGGACGCTACTGGGCAGTTGGAGGCAGTCGCCCTCCAACAACAACGGAGGGCGGAGGAGCGACGCTCACAACAACGACCAGAGCGCCGGGTGGCTAAAGCACAGCAGGTTGGCACAGTAGGGGTCACAAGTGGTGCATCAGCCAGTCATCTCAGTCAGTCGACCCGTGGCACCTGGGTCTGCCCCGTGACCTACTGCCAGCGGGCGTTCGACACTCCACGTGGCCTCAATGTGCACATGGCCTGGCACAAGCGTCGTGGTGACGTCACCGCCACTTAGTGGCGAATGGCGGTTGTTGTTGTTGTATGTGTGGGGAGCGGTGGCGCAGTGGTTAACGCACTGTGTGTGAGGAGTGGTGGCGCAGTGGTTAGCATGAAGTGTGTGTGAGGAGCGTTGGCGCAGTGGTTAGCGCGCTGTGTGTGTTTGTGGGGGTGGGGGAGCGGTGGCGCAGTGGTTTGTGCACTGTGTGTTTGTGGGGAGCGGTGGCGCTGTGGTTAGTGCACGGTGTGTGTATTGGGAGCGGTGGCGCTGTGGTTAGTGCACGGTGTGTGTGTTGGGAGCGGTGGGGCAGTGGATAGCGCAGTGTGTGTGTGTGGGGAGCGGTGACGCAGAGGTTGGCCCACTGTGTGTGTGTGGGGAGCGGTGGCGCTGTGGTTAGTGCACGGTGTGTGTGTGTTGGGAGCGGTGGGGCAGTGGATATCGAACTGTGTATGTGTGGGTAGCGGTGGCGCAGTGGTTGGCGCAGTGTGTGTGTGAGGAGCGGTGGCGCAGTGGTTAACGCACGGTGTTTGTGTGGGGAGCGGTTGCGCAGTGATTAGCGCGCTGTGTGTGTGGGTAGCGGTGGCGCAGTGGTTGGCGCAGCGTGTGTGTGTGTGAGGAGCGGTGGCGCAGTGGTTCGCGTGCCGTGTGTGTGTGTGGGGATCGGTGGCGCAATGGTTAGCACACTGTGTGTGTGAGGGGAGTAGTGGCGCAGTGGTTACTGCACTGTGTGTGTGAGGAGTGGTGGCGCAGTGGTTCGCGCACTGTGTGTTTGTCGGGGGGGGGAGCGGTGGCGCAGTGGTTTGTACACTGTGTGTGGCTGTGTGGGGAGCGGTGGTGCAGTGGTTAGCGCGCTGTTTGTGTTTGTGGGGGGGGAGCGGTGGCGCTGTGGTTAGTGCACGGTGTGTGTGCGTGTTGGGAGCGGCGGGGAAGTGTATAGCGCACTGTGTGTGTGTGGGGAGCGGTGGCGCAGTGGTTAACGAACTGTGTGTGTGGGGAGCGGTGGCGCAGTGGTTGGCGCACTGTTTGTGTGTGTGGGGAGCGGTGGCGCAGTGATTCGCGCAGTGTGTGTGGAGCGGTGGCGCAGTGGTTAGCATGAAGTGTGTGTGTGAGCAGCATTGGCGCAGTGGTTTATGCACTGTGTGTGTGGGGAGCGGTGGCGCTGTGGTTAGTGCACGGTGTGTGTGTTGGGAGCGGTTGCGCAGTGGATAGCGCACTGTGTGTGTGTGGGTAGCGGTGGCGCAGTGGTTGGCGCACTGTGTGTGTGAGGAGCGGTGGCGCAGTGGTTCGCGCACTGTGTGTGTGTGGGGAGCGGTGGCGCAGTGGTTCGCGCACTGCGTACAGTACGTGGATAAAAGAAACAGACCAAACTTTTATCGGAATTTGTATTGCGCATGCAACGTGCACGTGGCCTATCGCGCCTTCCCCGCATGGAATGGAAACAGATGTTCACTGAAATTTCCGTGCTTTTTTTTCAGAAGCTCTGACTAAACCAGCAGAGTAAAAAAAAAGCTCCTGGTTGGTTTCGTATTTTTTTTCCTTGTTCTGTAACAGAAGTGGTCCAAGTGGGATTCAAGGCTCGCCGCTTCATAAAGTGACCGACAATTTGGTGAATATATTGTCTTCGCATTCCTCCTAACCGATACCTTACACTTTACCGTTATGTTAACTACCTCGCCTGGTATGCAGGATTTCGTGGGTTCGATCCCGACACTGACGCCTGCTGTATATTTGGAGTTAGCGTGTCGCTCTCCGCGTGATGGTATGGATTTCTCTGCGTGTCAACGAGTTTTTCCCTCCACGTTTTGAATTACTATCACGCGTTTTAGAGTATTTGGTTGCTAGTATGAATTCCCTGTGTACGCATCTCACGGGTTATCTTTGACTCTCTTACCTTATCTTACCTATATAAGTCATTTTTCTGTCTGTATACACACCCTTGTGACGCATTTAACTTACAAACTGCTGGGTTTTTGTTTCAACAAACTACGCACATACGACGCAATAAGCCCCCGACCGACAAATCGCGATTTATTTTTCCCATCTGTCAAATGTAAAGTAGTTCAATTAACAGGGTGGCACTAAAGCACGCATCTGCGCGAGAACGCTGACTCGGTGGGGGGGGGGGGAATTCTTATTCGCGTTCAAAATGCAACAACAAAAAACATAACGCTGAGGTCAAAGTGTGATGTCCCCCCCCCCCACCACAATGTGTGCAATTACTACTATAGAGTCGGTAGATACTACTATAGTCTGTAGCTACTACTACTGTAATGCAGGCGGGGGATGGTGGGGGGGAGGATAGCGGCCCAGCCCCAGTCGGCCAAGGCGCCACTTCGGCCGGCTGGGCAAGCCAGGCGAAGCCGGGGGCTCTGCACGGGACTAGGCCTCACCACAGCACTCTGTTAAGTTAGTAGTTCACTGCTATAGATAGATACTATTATAGAGTCGGTATATACGACTATAGAGTAGGTAGATACTAGTGTAGAGTAGGTAGATACTACTGTAGACTCGGGAGATACTACTGCAGTCGGTAGATGCTACTGTAGAGTCAGTAGATACTGCTACAGAGTAAGTAAATATATACTACTATAGATTCAGTAGATACTACTGTAGAGCCAGATACTACTGTAGAGCCAGATACTACTGTAGAGTCAGATACTACTCACTCTATTGTATGTAGGGTGTGTAGGTATATATGCCTACGCGGAGGTAAAAATAAATTTGAGGGGTGGGGTCGACAATTTTCAGAAACCTTTTAGATCAACTATTTACCCCCCATTTTCAATAACTTTTTGGACTATTGCAAACATATGCTTAGCTCTTTCGGTAAAGTCATGTTGAAGGGAAACAATAAAATAATAAAATATATAAAACAATAAAAATTCTCACGACGTTTCGACCATAACACAAACGGTCATCATCAGGTGTGAAAAAACCAACGGCAAGAAACATTTGAAAGAAGTGTCGGTTTGCATTTATTTATTTTTAAACGGTGTATTTATTTATTTAAAAAAAACGTCAGCGCCACGCGCAGCGATTTGGCAGTTTATTTAGAAGGACGAGTCCATCTATGTTCTGAAAAGAGGAGGGGGGAGACGAAAAATTAATGTATGCTGTCTGAAAGCCACCGTAAGCGTGAACAATCAATTAAGACCTGAAATGGTTTATCAAATCCTTCCAGTGATTGCTAAGCCAGAATCCATCTTCTCGGTTGAAATTGTCTCTGTGCTGGTATATGTGGATAGCCTCATGAACGAATTTCTCATGGTAGCCAGATGGCTTACAAAGAACCTCTGTCTTGGAGAAGTCAATGTCATGTGAGCCTACTGAATTATTACAATGATCTGCCACGGCCGAGGTGTTGGTCCTACCGTGTTTAAGGTCTGCTTTGTGTTCACGAATGCGGTCCGAGACATGGCGTTTGGTTTCTCCAATGTAACTACTACCACAGAGGCAACTTAGTTTGTAGACACTAGGATACTGTGTGTCCGGAATCACATCTTTTACAGACGGAACCAGATCACGGATTTTATGTAATGTGTTGAAACGAACCTGCATCTTGTGTTTATTCAAGATTTTGGAGATCTTTTTTGTGATCCCCGCAATGTAGGGTAAAGTGATGGTTTTGAAAGGCTTCTCAAGAGGGTCCTTCTTCATGGTTTGAGTGATAGCTTTGCGGATTGTATAGTCGGAGTAACCATTAGCCTTAAGAGCTTGGTGTACGTGATTGAGTTCACTGCCTATGTGTTCCTGGTCGGATATGCATTTGGCTCTATGGTACAGAGTCTTGATGAGAGAATTCTTCTGTGATGGATGGTGGTGGGAATCCGGTTTCAGATAAGCATCCGTATGGGTAGCTTTCCTGTAGACAGAGTGGCTCATTGAACCATCAGGTCTCTTGATAAACCATTTCAGGTATTAATTGATTGTTCACGCTTACGGTGGCTTTCAGACAGCATACATACATTTTTCGTCTCCCCCCTCCTCTTTTCAGAACATAGATGGACTCGTCCTTCTAAATAAACTGCCAAATTGCTGCGTGTGGTGCTGACGTTTTTTTAATAAATACACCGTTTAAAGATAAATAAATGCAAACCGACACTTCTTTCAAATGTTTCTTGCCGTTAGTTTTTTCACACCTGATGATGACCGTTTGTGTTATGGTCTAAACGTCGTGAGTATTTTTATTGTTTTATATATATTTTATTATATTATTGTTTCCCTTCAACGTGACTTTACCGAAAGAGCTAAGAATATGAATTCCTGCAGTCACGAAAGCTTTAAATCAAAACTTATTGCAAACATCTTATAATTTTGACAGACAAATGGACAAACGGCACGCTGGGCTTTCACAATAGCTTAGTATTTGTTTGGTTTTGACATATATTTTTCTCCCGGGTAACGCCGGGTACTTCCCGCGAGTATAAGATATCATCTATATATATAAAAGGGAAATTTATGAATGTGTCTGTTCGAAATGTTTAGCGTACTTCCCAACATGCTACAAACTTGAAATTTGGAATGTGGGTAGTTTCCAGACTGTACACAATGCAAAAAGTATAAAAATAAACTTTTGTTTTTATTTTATTTTGGGGGGGGGGGGGGGCGCAATAAATAATGGATATAATATATTGCACGGCAAGTGATCGGTGACGTCACATCTGTGATGTCACCCGCATGTGGCAGCGTTACGCAGGGTGCCTGCTGACGTCACGCACCCCCCCCCCCCAACCCTTACGCCGTGTATCCCGCACAAATGCGCGGCATAGCTGTCTCGATTTTCTAAGTCAACGTGACTATTTTCAGCTTGCTCTTAAACATAAAGCAGAAAATCCATCTGTTTGTGTGAAGCGGCAAAAACTCTCCAACGCTGAGCTCTCATGTCATGAAATTTGCACATCTTCTGCCGTCTGGAATTTCTCAGTGAACGCGACTATTTTCAGCTCGCCACGTCATTCCCTTCCCGAGTTGACAAAATCGACCTTACATATAAGTGGGTTAAGGTTGATTTTCCTCGAGTGAAAAACATCCGATTTAGTTAAATTGATTTGTTTCGGCTTGTATCTTTCTTGCATCCATTTTTTCAGCGTTTTTCAGTGAAATATAAGGAAATATGAAATTAATCCAGGACAAGAATCCAAGTCCCGGGCGGAGCCAGGTAGTAAAGCTAGTTTATTATAATGCGATGTTTCCATAACGTGGTGTTCCTCAGCTACGCAACTATCACCGCATTATAGAACAGACTGTATTACACCTCTTATACTTCTACCAAACTTCATTCCATAGATATTTGTATACATGCGTAGTGTTTGTACTTATTTCTCCGCGGAGGACCATAAACTGACAAAAAGCAGCAATTACAAGCATTTGTATGGGTGCGTGAATGGGTCAATAAGTGAGTAGGTTAGTTAGTGAGTGGATGGGTGAGTGGGTGAAGTCTGTGGGTGTGTTAGTGACTTTTTGAGAGAATGGGTGAGTGGTTAAGTAATTGAGTGGGTAAATCACCCTTTACCACCTGGCTAGCTCTGCCCGTGTACTCTGCAGATTCTGTATATTTCCTTATTTCCATACACGGGGCGCATCGGTGGTGAGATCTACGAATGGCATGCGCCGCTTAATACCTGTAGATTATTGTTGTGATAAATCTATCTATTCTACTTATATCACACTTTAACTGTAGATATTTGTATACATTTGTCGTGTTTTGTACTTATTTCTAAAACTGACAAAAATGCAAACTCAAACTCCAATACACAACATTTTTTTGGGGTGAGATCGCGTAGATATAAATGTGTCGCTAACCCACCACAACACAACACAGCCAATCAGTAAGGTTTGCCAAGTGAACAAAACGTGCAAATTAGTAACTACTTCAGTACATACGTTGTTCTGGAGAGTAAACCCACAACATTAAACATTTTAGTACGACGTTTCACTGGTGATTACAACCAGCTTCATCAGGCGATTTGCCAGAATTGTGAAGAAGTCTTCCTGTTTCTGGTATGAAAGAACAAGATGATGTCATCACTGTTAACGCCACATTAATACTTACATGATCTAACACAAATACTTTTATTAGATGTTAAATTACTCACTCCGATGTTTCGTGTTTTAGGCAAAGAGGCAATTATTATTTTTACAAAGCATTTTAAATACCAGTAGCAGTTTCTAGCATGGGTGCGGTTCTCGCCTATATCAACTCAGCCTTAAAAGAGTACTTACCTGGTGTGGTGTAGAAGCACAAAGCAATCGGGAGACAAAGGTAGTCGAACATGGTTCTGGCTATGCTAATCGTGCTGTTTGTGTGGCATTGTGTTTCCTAACAATGGCGTGGTGTTTTCAGTACGACCCCAATCAGCATGAGGACAGCGATGGTGATACTTGGAATGGTGATGGTGGTAATGGTGATGGTGATCAGTTCTGAAAGGCTGGGTAAGATCTGGTATTGAGATATGTGTGTGTGTGTGAGTTTGCTAACAGCACTGTTAAGGCTACATAGGGGATCTTTGTCCATATTGTGGGTAGCGGTGGCACAGCGGTTAGTGAGCTGCACTACGATCCCGGCAACACGAGTTCAATTCCGTTGATGGCCACCAACACCAGTAACGATTATCTGAACTGGTCCTGGGACTGCCCTAGGTCAACTCAGCCTCAAATGTGTACCTTGTGTGATGTATAAACATTGCCACTGGCCACTAACCCCCTCGTGTGCCGTGGCGACCATCATAGGTGCTCGCTAACAGCACTTGCCCCAACAGTCTGTTAAGGCTACACAGGAGACCATTGTCTTTGTCCGCAGGATGCTTGCACGGCTCAGGTTGAAGTGCCACTGACTGCCTCCCCATCCCTCGCATTGCTCACATCTCTCGCCCGCCTGTCACCACGGTAGCAGCCTATGTTACAGTTCTTCAGGGTACAGTACACCCGCGAAAGACTAAAACTAACCCCCGCAATAGCTAAATTAGTATAAAAAGAGCTTGCCCGCAATAAGTTGAATTCGTGAAAGATGAACCCGCGATATTCAAGGGTCTCCTGTACAATAAACTCGGACACATTTTTTATTGATCATCAGACGTGGTCAATCAGTGGAGTTGAAGATGGCAGCCTTCAAGCAGTCCACTCTTTTAAGTGAGAGAACATACATATGCCATCAACGCAGTGACCAAACATCGACCATCAATCTCCCGGTCTCCATAGCAACAACACAAGCTACTCCAATGGCCCTGTTCAAGGCCAAAGAACGTGCCAGATAGGCCCTGGGACAAGCATCCTACAACTGAACATTGAGAGACTCTCCTGGGCAAAACCTATAAAACCAGATGCATCCCAAAAGCATTGTGGGAGGTGATGGTGATTTCTAGACCCAAACCGGGCAAGCCAACCGACAACCCGAGACGCTGTAGACGGATATCATTCCAGTGCATGACCTATAAACTCCTTGAATGCATCATCCTCCGGAAAATCAGCCCCCTCGTCGGGTCAGTGATCTCTAAAGAATATTTACAAATATGGAGGCTAAAGCAAAATCCCCCAAAAACAACAGTCACTGCATTTCATCTTGATAATAGGTGCGCCAAGCACACTCTGAAAGTGACATTTTACACCAACACTGTGCAACATGACCCCAGTACAACCTATTTCGGAGTGAAGCTGGACCGTACGGTAATCTTCCACGACCACCTGATAAAGGTCGCTGCCAAGACAAAAACAAGGGTCAACCTGGTTCAGAAACTGGCAAGCAAAAGCTGGAGAGCATCAGCACCAGTGCTACGGATATCAACTATGGCCCTTGTGTACTCTGTAGGAGAATAATTTGCAACAGTATGGAACAGAAATAGTCGCACTCCACTTGTTGATGTCCAACTGAACACTGCAATGCGATATATTAGTCGAATCCTCAAGTCGACCCCTACACCCTGGCTGCCCGTACTCTCACATCTCTCCCCTATCCTTCCACCACAATGCTGCAATCCTCTGGGAAAATCAACGAATTGAGGAAAACAGCTGCCTTCCCATTCATTAGTACCTCAATAATGTCCCTCATCATCGCTTGGATCTTGAACAATGTGAGTCCAGACACTATGAAGCTTGGGGAGCTGAATGGAGTTCAACATAACTAATAAACAACTTGTGAAATACTCAACGCAGAAGATCCCTGGGATTCATCTTCCACGAAGCCCTAAACCGCATCCGTGGTCATCCAGAACAGACCATACATCATGTAGCAACGCACTATGAAGGAGACATCACAGAGATAACACTCCACTGCTCCTGAGGCGGTTATCTGGCTTGATCACCTGAATGCTAAATTGTAGTTGTTATTGTTCTGCATGTACATTAGCCAGCCATACAAAAGGAGAATCCAGACTCAGAATCTGTATTTCGTCTGGAATAGAAATCCGAGGAGCTTTGAAGCTTTTTTTCCAGATGTCCAGTAGGAGCACAGTATAAGTTACAACAGACAATACAGACTATACGTATGCAAAATAGAGAAAAGGTAAGAAAATCACTAAATAAAATAACAAATGATTGCACAACGAAGTCACTTATATCGTGTATTAATACAGTGAGGGAAAAACGTATTTGATCCCCTGCTGATTTTGTACGTTTGCCCACTGACAAAGAAATTATCAGTCTAATTTTAATGGTAGGTTTATTTGAACAGTGAGAGACAGAATAACAACAAAATCCAGAAAAACGCATGTCAAAAATGTTATCAATTCATTTGCATTTCAATGAGGGAAATAAGTATTTGACCCCTCTGCAAAACATGACTTAGTACTTGGTGGCAAAACCCTGGTTGGCAATCACAGTGGTCAGACGTTTCTTGTAGTTGGCCACCAGGTTTGCACACATCTCAGGAGGGATTTTGTCCCACTCCTCTTTGCAGATCTCCAAGTCATTAAGGTTTCGAGGCTAACGTTTGGCAACTCGAACCTTCAGCTCCCTCCACAGATTTTCTATGGTATTAAGGTCTGGAGACTGGCTAAGCCACTCCAGGACCTTAATGTGCTACTTCTTGAGTCACTCCTTTGTTGCTTTGGCCATGTGTTTTGGGTCATTGTCATGCTAGAATACCCATTAACGACCCATTTTCAATGCCCTGGGTGAGGGAAGGAGGTTCTCACCCAAGATTTGACGGTACATGGCCCCGTCCATCGTCCCTTTGATGCGGTGAAGTTGTCCTGTCCCCTTAGCAGAAAAACACCCCCAAAGCATAATGTTTCCACCTCCATGTTTGACGGTGGGGATGGTGTTTTTGGGGTCATAGGCAGCATTCCTCCTCCTCCAAACACGGCGAGTTGAGTTGATGCCAAAGAGCTCCATTTTGGTCTCATCTGACCACAACACTTTCACCCAGTTGTCCTCTGAATCATTGAGATGTTCATTGGCAAACTGCAGACGGGCATGTATATGTGCTATCTTGAGCAGGGGGACCTTGCGGGCGCTGTAGGATTTCAGTCCTTCACGGCGTAGTGTTACCAATTGTTTTTTTGGTGATTATAGTCCCAGCTGCCTTGAGATAATCGACAAGATCCTCCCGTGTAGTTCTGGGCTGATTCCTCACCGTTCTCATGATCATTGCAACTCCACGAGACGAGATCTTGCATGGAGCCCCAGGCCGAGGGAGATTGACAGTTCTTTTGTTTCTTCCATTTGCGAATAATCGCACCAACTGTTGTCACCTTCTGACCAAGCTGCTTGGCAATGGTCTTGTAGCCTATTCCAGCTTTGTGTAGGTCTACAATCTTGTCTCTGACATCCTTGGAGAGCTCTTTGGTCTTGGCCATGGTGGAGAGTTTGGAATCTGATTGATTGCTTCTGTGGAAAGGTGTCTTTTATACAGGTAACAAGCTGAGATTAGGAGCACTCCCTTTAAGAGTGGGCTCCTAAACTCAGCTCGTTACCTGTATAAAAGACACCTGGGAGCCAGAAATATTTCTGATGGAGAGGGGGTCAAATACTTATTTCCCTCATTAAAATGCAAATCAATTTATAACATTTTTGACATGCGTTTTCTGGATTTTTTTGTTATTCTCTCACTGTTCAAATAAACCTACCATTAAAATTAAAGACTGATCATTTGTCAGTGGGAAAACGTACAAAATCAGCAGGGGATCAACTACTTTTTTCCCTCACTGTATATAGCAGCCAAATTGTTGAAGACATGTTTCTAGTCTCATTGAGACCCATAGACCCACAGAGCCCCATAGAAACCAATATGTAGAGACCCAGAGACCAATACTCATCAAGACCCATACAAACCCAGAGACCCACTGAGTCCAACACTCATAGACACACACAGATACTCATATATAACCAGAGACCAATAGATACCCACAAGAACCCATCGACCCACGGAGCCCCATAGAAACCAATACTTATAGAGACCCAGAGACCAATACTCATCGAGACCCATACAAACCCAGAGACCCACTGAGTCCAACACTCATAGAGACACACAGATACTCATATATAACCAGAGACCCATAGATACCCACAAGAACCCAGAGTCAGACGCATCCTCATTGAGACCCATACTAAAACAATTTTTTATATTTTATAATCATGAAGTAAGTAGGCTTGGGCAGGACATGTCGCTAGAAATGATTATGGCTGGTTATAAAGAATCATGATAGAATGGCAGCCAAACAAATGTAATGAATTAAAGATAATGGCCATGGCAAAGATGAAGTTCAGCAGTCAGTGAGGTCGATAATCACACTGCAGGCTCATCACAGTGCCTTTGGGATGACGACGACGATGATGTTGAGGATTACGATGCTAATGTCCAGAAACACCCATTGCCCATCGTGACGGGTCTAGTTACCTTCTTGACAAAAGCTGCAATCGGCAAACCCGCGATGTGCAAACTCAAAGGCATCAATGTGAAACTCGGGTTTGGTTACCGGTTCGTCATACAACACCCACCCCTCCTTTTGTTGATCGTTACCCTACATCAACCCAAACATTAAACAGGAAGTACTTTGAATGTAAAATATTTGTAATATTCTCTAGTGTTCAATATAACTTGTATGGTAAATGTATAGAATAAAAAAGGGATGCAATGTGCAGTACTGTACAGTATCCGTGTACAGTACACTACAGGAAGTAAAATACTCTTTGTTTTTTTCGGTAAAGTCTCGTAGGTTAAAATAAAAGAAAGAAAAGAAAAAACTAAATTAAATCACGACGTTTCGGAGGCAACACAAGCGTCCTTCTTCAGGTGGAATAAACAGCGGAATAGCTGTCTTCCACCTGAAGAAGGAAGCTTGTGTTGCCTCCGAAACGTCGTGATTTAATTTAGTTGTTTTTTATTTTCTTTATTTTATTTTAACCTACGTGACTTTACCGAACAAACCAGAGAGTAGGAATCCTTGCAGTCACGAAAGCTTCAAATCTAGGAAGTAAAATTGGCGGGCGGTTTAACCTTCCCGCCTCCTGGCGAGAGGCTGGGAACACCACGTGACCTGGGACCCGCCATGGGTACTCGGGAGACAGGATGGAGACAAGACGGAGACAGGATGGAGACAAGACGGAGACAGGATGGAGACAAGACGGAGACAGGATGGAGACAAGACGGAAGACAGGATGGAGACAAGACGGAGACAGGATGGAGACATGACGGAGATAGGATGGAGACAAGACGGAAGACAGGATGGAGACAAGACGGAAGACAGGATGGAGACAAGACGGAGACAGGATGGAGACAGGATGGAGACAAGACGGAGACAGGATGGAGACAAGACGGAGATAGGATGGAGACAAGACGGAGACAGGATGGAGACATGACGGAGATAGGATGGAGACAAGACGGAAGACAGGATGGAGACAAGACGGAGACAGGATGGAGACAAGACGGAAGACAGGATGGAGACAAGACGGAGACAGGATGGAGACAAGACGGAGACAGGATGGAGACAGGATGGAGACAAGACGGAGATAGGATGGAGACAAGACGGAAGACAGGATGGAGACAAGACGGAGACAGGATGGAGACAAGACGGAGACAAGACGGAGACAGGATGGAGACAAGACGGAGATAGGATGGAGACAAGACGGAGACAGGATGGAGACAAGACGGAGATAGGATGGAGACAGGATGGAGACAAGACAGAAACAGGACGGAGACAAGATGGAGACAAGACGGAGACAAGATGGAGACAAGACGGAGATAGATGGAGACAAGACGGAGACAGGATGGAGACAAGACGGAAGACAGGATGGAGACAAGACGGAGACAGGATGGAGACAAGACGGAGACAAGATGGAGACAAGACGGAAGACAGGATGGAGACAAGATGGAGACAAGACGGAAGACAGGATGGAGACAAGACGGAGATAGGATGGAGACAAGACGGAAGACAGGATGGAGACAAGACGGAGACAGGCTGGAGACAAGACGGAGATAGATGGAGACAAGACGGAAGACAGGATGGAGACAAGACGGAGATAGGATGGAGACAAGACGGAAGACAGGATGGAGACAAGACGGAGACAGGATGGAGACAAGACGGAGATAGATGGAGACAAGACGGAGACAGGCTGGAGACAAGACGGAGATAGGATAGAAACAGGATGGAGACAAGACGGAGACAGGACGGAGACAAGATGGAGACAAGACGGAAGACAGGATGGAGACAAGACGGAGACAAGACGGAAGACAGGATGGAGACAAGACGGAGACAGGATGGAGACATGACGGAGATAGGATGGAGACAAGACGGAAGACAGGATGGAGACAAGACGGAGACAGGATGGAGACAGGATGGAGACAAGACAGAGACAGGATGGAGACAAGACGGAGATAGGATGGAGACAAGACGGAGACAGGATGGAGACATGACGGAGATAGGATGGAGACAGGATGGAGACAAGACGGAGACAGGATGGAGACAAGACGGAGACAAGACGGAAGACAGGATGGAGACAAGACGGAGACATGATGGAGACAAGACGGAAGACAGGATGGAGACAAGACGGAGACAGGATGGAGACAAGACGGAGACAGGATGGAGACAGGATGGAGACAAGACGGAGATAGGATGGAGACAAGATGGAGACAAGACGGAGACAGGATGGAGACAAGACGGAGATAGGATGGAGACAAGACGGAGACAGGATGGAGATAGGATGGAGACAGGATGGAGACAAGACGGAAACAGGACGGAGACAATATGGAGACAAGACGGAGACAAGACGGAGATAGGATAGAAACAGGATGGAGAAAAGACGGAGACAGGACGGAGACAAGACGGAGACAAGATGGAGACAAGACGGAAGACAGGATGGAGACAGGATGGAGACAAGACGGAGACAGGATGGAGACAAGACGGAAGACAGGATGGAGACAAGACGGAGACAGGATGGAGACAAGACGGAGATAGGATGGAGACAAGACGAAGACAGGATGGAGACAAGACGGAAATAGGATGGAGACAAGACGGAGACAGGACGGAGACAAGATGGAGACAACACGGAGACAAGATGGAGACAAGACGGAAGACAGGATGGAGACAAGACGGAGACAAGACGGAAGACAGGATGGAGACAAGACGGAGATAGGATAGAAACAGGATGGAGACAAGACGGAGACAGGACGGAGACAGGATGGAGACAAGACGGAGACAGGATGGAGACAAGACGGAGACAAGACGGAGACAGGATGGAGACAAGACGGAGATAGGATGGAGACAAGACGGAGACAGGATGGAGACAAGACGGAGATAGGATGGAGACAGGATGGAGACAAGACAGAAACAGGACGGAGACAAGATGGAGACAAGACGGAGACAAGATGGAGACAAGACGGAGATAGATGGAGACAAGACGGAGACAGGATGGAGACAAGACGGAAGACAGGATGGAGACAAGACGGAGACAGGATGGAGACAAGACGGAGACAAGATGGAGACAAGACGGAAGACAGGATGGAGACAAGATGGAGACAAGACGGAAGACAGGATGGAGACAAGACGGAGATAGGATGGAGACAAGACGGAAGACAGGATGGAGACAAGACGGAGACAGGCTGGAGACAAGACGGAGATAGATGGAGACAAGACGGAAGACAGGATGGAGACAAGACGGAGATAGGATGGAGACAAGACGGAAGACAGGATGGAGACAAGACGGAGACAGGATGGAGACAAGACGGAGATAGATGGAGACAAGACGGAGACAGGATGGAGACAAGACGGAGATAGGATAGAAACAGGATGGAGACAAGACGGAGACAGGACGGAGACAAGATGGAGACAAGACGGAAGACAGGATGGAGACAAGACGGAGACAAGACGGAAGACAGGATGGAGACAAGACGGAGACAGGATGGAGACATGACGGAGATAGGATGGAGACAAGACGGAAGACAGGATGGAGACAAGACGGAGACAGGATGGAGACAGGATGGAGACAAGACAGAGACAGGATGGAGACAAGACGGAGATAGGATGGAGACAAGACGGAGACAGGATGGAGACATGACGGAGATAGGATGGAGACAGGATGGAGACAAGACGGAGACAGGATGGAGACAAGACGGAGACAAGACGGAAGACAGGATGGAGACAAGACGGAGACATGATGGAGACAAGACGGAAGACAGGATGGAGACAAGACGGAGACAGGATGGAGACAAGACGGAGACAGGATGGAGACAGGATGGAGACAAGACGGAGATAGGATGGAGACAAGATGGAGACAAGACGGAGACAGGATGGAGACAAGACGGAGATAGGATGGAGACAAGACGGAGACAGGATGGAGATAGGATGGAGACAGGATGGAGACAAGACGGAAACAGGACGGAGACAATATGGAGACAAGACGGAGACAAGACGGAGATAGGATAGAAACAGGATGGAGAAAAGACGGAGACAGGACGGAGACAAGACGGAGACAAGATGGAGACAAGACGGAAGACAGGATGGAGACAGGATGGAGACAAGACGGAGACAGGATGGAGACAAGACGGAAGACAGGATGGAGGCAAGACGGAGACAGGATGGAGACAAGACGGAGATAGGATGGAGACAAGACGGAGACAGGATGGAGACAAGACGGAAATAGGATGGAGACAAGACGGAGACAGGACGGAGACAAGATGGAGACAACACGGAGACAAGACGGAAGACAGGATGGAGACAAGACGGAGACAGGATGGAGACAAGACGGAGACAGGATGGAGACAAGACGGAAATAGGATGGAGACAAGACGGAGACAGGACGGAGACAAGATGGAGACAAGACGGAAGACAGGATGGAGACAAGACGGAGACAGGATGGAGACACGACGGAAGACAGGATGGAGACAAGATGGAGAGAAGACGGAGACAGGATGGAGACAAGACGGAAGACAGGATGGAGACAGGATGGAGACAAGACGGAGACAAGATGGAGACAAGACGGAAGACAGGATGGAGACAAGACGGAGACAGGATGGAGACAAGACGGAAGACAGGATGGAGACAAGACGGAGACAGGATGGAGACAAGACGGAGACAGGATGGAGACAAGACGGGGGCAAGACGGAAGACAAGACGGAGACAAGAAGACAAGACGGAAACAAGATGGGAGACAAGATGGAGACAAGACGGAAGACAAGATGGAGACAAGACAGCACGTGTGTTTTTTCTCAGCAGTAGCGTCATCGCGAGCAGTGCAGTTCGGACTTGTACAGGAATCTCATGGTCAACTGTGAATGGTCGAGCCATCACAGGGAGGGCGCAATAGGCAAACTCTGTACGCCAATAAATTCGACGCGAAACCCCAAAACCACGATAGCTAAGCCTGCGAGAGGAAAATGTGTTTTTGTGTATTACACTCATAATTAAGGTTCCTTGTCAATATCCAACGCTGTCGCAACTAACGATTGTTTTCCTCTTCACACACAAACAAGCAGATGCCTGCCGTGATGGCCAGCACGCCGTCAGGGTCAATGAGAAGAGAACCATTCTCAACTGTTCACTTCCACTGAGCTCTGGAGACCATTTGGTCAAAATTGAATGGAGAAGAGACACTGTTGTTGTAAGTTAAGAAGAATCTTATCTGTACATCATAAACATTCATATAGAAAGCACCTTTGTACAAGGTGTGTTAGTACAAGGGGCTTTGCTATAATCATAAAATTGTACATACGATGATTATGGTAAAAAAAAAGTAGTGAAGTGATTGAAAGCGGTTTTGTAGCTCTGGTGACAGGAGGACTGGTGGGAGTGGTTAAGGGTTGGGGTAGTGATGGGGGTAGGGGTAGTGATAGGGGTTGTGATAGAGGTTGGGGTAGCTATAGGGGTTATGGAGCGGTGGCGTAGCGGTTAGCGCGCTGCGCTGCGAACCCGGTGACCCGGGTTTGATTTCTGCTCACGGCCAACACCAGTGACAATTATCTGAACCGGTACTGGGGATAGCAATAGGAGTAGGGGTAGTGATAGGGTTAGTGCTAGGGGTAGTGATAGGGGTTTAGGTAGTGATAGGGGTTGGGGTAGGCCTGGTCGTATTTCAGGCATATGCAGCATCAGGATAATGATGATGATGCTGCACTAGGGGAGAATAGATAGGGGTTGTTTTAAGGGAGGAACGGAAGCTGCAGGTGGTTGGCGTGCTTGTTAGTGATGAAGATGGTTGCTCTGTGCACTGCAGTAGAGGAGTTGGTTCCAGTGAAGGGGAGCGAGAAGAGAGCAGTAACGAAAGAGTGTGACTGGGCACGGTAGGGTGGCGAGGGTGCCACACAGAGAGGAATGGTACATACTCAGAATGGGAATAACCAGATGGGGATACAGAGGAGTGAGAGACGAGATAAACGAGATGATAGGGTTGGGGCTATTTATCCCGTAGTGGATTTTTTGACATCGGAAGAGCAGTGACCATGGTCAGGGGTCGGCAACCAAAATAATAAAAGCCATTTTGTTTATAATTCGGTAAAAAAACCCTCAATATTTTAAGAGCCGCAATGCATGTGGTTATTAAGAGACGGTGGTCGTAAATACATCATGCAGATCCATATTCACGAGTTGCCGACCTCTGACCATGAGGATACTGCCGTGATGGAACGGACAGCAACGCAATGCAAAGGTCAGGTTCCATCTCCCGGCATGGCAGTTTAAACAATGGGAAAGTTACACCACAATCCATTAAATCTCCCCTTTTCCCAGCAGTTAACCGGATATAGGCGATCGACAGATAGTGTGTGGTAGGGTAAAGTGTGGGTGCTCCCACCTCTTCCAATACTTCTTGGCCAGCGTGGGAAGCATAGGCCAAATTTCACTGAATTCTTTTTTTAGGAGCTCCCATGCCTAAATGCGTTTGTTCATGGAAAATAAATGTCCTGGCCTTAATCAGGGATCGAGGGAGATGCCTCTGATTAATCCTGGCCCTCAAGTCAACCAATTTTATGGTTTCACCATCGCTACCAATTTTAACGGAAGAACAAAACCCAATATCGCATTAACTTGGGTTCAACACTCAATTTGTCGGAATTAATCTGTGAGAATGAATACAAATATCGGTTTGACTCTCATGCGACGAACGTTACCTTCAATGCCAGAGCGAGTGATGAATCGCTGCCCACTCCTTTATGGACCAGGAGTTCAACCGATAGGATTTCATATGTAGTTCTTTGGTAGCCTGATCTGTAGGCCGCTCTCTATAAACGTGGAGGGTTGCACTACTCTATGTGCGAGAGTTCCCAATGGATTCTTTGTCTCTTGGAATGACCACCGGAATGGCACAATCGCAATAAAACTGTGGCTGGAAGATACTTAACAGAAATGAATTTCATTTATTAATAAAAAAAAATACACCAGGTATTGGTTTAGACTCCAGCTCGTTTAGAATACAGCTGCTAGAGTCCTTACACGCCTCAGTTTTGCGAGCACGTCATCATCATCGTTACCATTACACATCCGCTCTCCTGTCAGTGGCTGAGTGAGTTGGTGAGGGAGTAGGTGAGTGGGTGAGGCAGTGGGTGTGTGAGTGAGTGGGTAAATTTGCCTTTACTCCCCGCCATGGTCTGCCCGTGTAACTTTCCAGTTCTGCGTATTCCCTGATTTACATATACGGGCCACATTGGTGGGATCTACTACTATGAAAAATAGCTACATTGCTAATCGGATTTCTTCAGGATAATTAAAGATTCTGATTCTGAAATGCACCACTTTACAAATTGTTCCATATTATTTCGTAATATGGTTTTGCGTGTGTGTGTGTTTTACCTTCCCTTTTAGATATTTTACTATGGCAGCGGGATAAATCAACAACTGAAAGCATCTGAAGGATATACGTTCTTTGGGAACATACAGAGTGGAGACGCCTCTCTGGCTATCGAATATGTTGACGCCGTTAAATTCAGATCATTCTCCTGTAAGCTGATCACGTTGAGAAACCTACATATCGACAACGTCTTTTGTTTACTAAGTGACTCAGGGGGGACACGTCATCCTACGACTGCTCTTACTGCCAACCCATCAAAACAAAATGGTAAACTCAAGCAGTGGCGATGCTGTTATCTCCCTTGCCTAGTATGCAGGAAGTTGTGAGTTCAATCCCGACCCTGACGATACCTGTTGTATATTTGGAGTCCGCGTGTTCTGTCTATCTCTCTCAGTGGTCGTGTGTATTTTTCTTCGGGTCCTCCGGTTTTTCCCTCCACATTTAGAATCAACATCACACGTTTAGATAATTTGGCTGCTGCTATTACATTTCCACGTGATAAGCTATTTTGCTGAGCTACCATTTGTGACCATGTCACTTTTGATAAATAGATGCTTGTCTAGTGGGCGTTACCTGATAAAATAAAATTTTAGTTTTAGTCTGGGTCTCGAAGAGTATGGGTCTCTGTCAGTTTATGTGGGTCTATATGCGTTTCTGGATCTCTGTGGTTCTACATGGGTCTCTGATTATGGGTCTCTATGGGTGTCTGTGGGTCTATGGGTCTCTATGACTGTTAAAACCGCACGTTTAGAGTACGTGGTTGCTGCAATATTGTTCCACACGATAAGCAACTTCGTTAAGCTATCATTTGTAGCCAGGTTGTTTCTGAAAAAGAGCTACATTACACAGTGAGCTTTACCTGTAAATATATTTTTTATGGACATGGGTGGCACTTCATCGCCCCGTGTGTCGATCGGAGGTGGCAACGTCTACATTGAAGATTGGGTGTGGATGGTGATAGCGGCCGTGGGCTTCGTAGTCCTCGTCATCATCATTGCACTCCTCGCTGTGTGGACCTACCGGAGGAATCAGCAGCGGATCATCGAGCGCTACAACAGGAGGACGAGGTGGGCTCGTCATCACCGCGACTAGCTCTGCAGAACCACTAGCTTCCTCGCGAGTTGGTGATCTTATACCTATCCCACTAAATGTATTTGTATAATACGACGAGAAACAAGGTTTTGTTAGCTGGCTGCCTGGCTAGTCTATTGCCATCACCTCTTTAAGAGTTGATGGTCTAGGCAAGGCTGATATCAGTCTGCATGCAATGTAGAGGTCACACGACGTGCACGCAAGGCATGACGCAAACACCGTTACGTGTTATTCCTCCCAGTCACATTTGTTGGCACGTATTTCCTCTGGCCCCAGCACTTGATTGACATACTTTTGACAATGTAGTTCCGATGGCAATGCCAACCTCGCACAGATACAATGATACATTCCTAGAATTCGCGCAATTTTCGATCAAAAGTAGTTAATAAAGCTGGCCAAAGTATTTGGAACCACCTAGTTTCGTCTCTTGGCATCTCAATTCTGCCATCTTTGTCCTCATTTATACTTACTTTATTATTAAAATCACTAAAGCTTAAGTGCAAATGTAATTCTACAACATAATTTATATATTTTTTCTATAATTGTGGATTGCTTTAATGCTGTCTGGTGGCCTAGTCACCCTTTTAAAAAGAGCTTCTTAGCTTTACTGAGCAAATGCACTTTTGATTCTTCATTTGATCGATGGACTGTTTCGGTCATATTCTCAGCAGCGGCGTTTTGGCTAGCCATCGAACAAAGTCGGTCACCTCATTGCGCACTTTCAGAAGCACTTCTTCAACCGTCTGGAATGCCCTCCCGATTTTAAGAAGCTACTTGAGCTATGCACTTTTAAATCAAGATATAAAACTCATCTTTATAACTGCTTTTTTGTGTTGATTTTGTTGTCTTCGTCCGGTGCTAAAGAAGTTCAACATGCATACATACAAATGTTCCAAACACAAACAATTATGGCGACCACATTTCTGGGACGCTCGCATTTACATAACCAAGCTCACGCAACAGCGATCCCCGCCCACAAAATGAGTGGCTCTGTTGCTGACATTGGCCCCGCCCACTCTTCATAGGGCCTGCCCACTCCGCTGCCTTCCACGCCCACTAATCATGAAGGCCTTCCCCCACATTGTCATTATTATGCTTGCTGGATAGGAGGAAAGGTTATTTTTTACTTCGGAATTTTTTTTAATATATTTTTTGCAAATGCTTCAGGACACTGGGACACACTATCTAAAATGGCGAGTGTCCTGGCCAAACGTTGGATATCCACGAGTCATTAGTCCCAATGTTCTTGTGTTCAGTTGGTCTGACAGTCCCTGTTTTTTTTCCAACAGTGAGCTTCAGGAATCAATGTCCTACATTAACATCAAGGTAAGCAACGGTTCTGTGGATGATGCTGCGACTGCCAAAGCCATGGGTTATTTTAAGCATGATGATGATCATCATAGTTTGATGTACATACCACACACCTCATGTACTATATCTTGATGCTGACCTACCAGGCACTCGATGGTTTTGCCGCACGATGTATACAGCAACTGATTCATTTTTATACTCGAACAATATCTCTGAAATCTTCGGATCTCGTTCACATACCCGTCTCTCCACAGGTCCAAATAAAATAATTTCTCTCACAACCCATCGGCCATAGAGCCTTGGTTCAAGACAAGCAACCTCTGGACCGGCTTTGATACTCATGCACTTGCAGAAGGCCGTGTGAAGGAGGCTATTTACTTAGTTATTTTAATATTGAATGTCGTTGATTTAAAATCACTGAACTTTGGTATCAGGCCAAATAAAGCCCTGATCCCCTTCTGGGATAACTGTCACCTTCCTAGAATCTCACCCAGATCCAGAATATTGTATGTATGTTGAACTTATTTCGCATCGTACGTAGCCAATCATGCTAAATGGAGAAAGATGGTGAGCAGTGTGGAACAAAGCAGACACCCAGAATAAACACCTAATTACATACCCAAATATTGCACCGCCTGGCTTTGATATTCCTTTTCGAAGACACTGATGGAATAATTAGCTGCATCAGAAAATTAGCGGGCTGGTGTGCGCATCTTCATGAATGGAAAATTAGCTTTCAAAAACAATGCAAATTATTATATTGGCATTATAAAATGTTTTCATCATCACCATCATCATAACTTCTGATTAATACCACGCCTCTCATGCAGGAAGACTCTGGGTGACAGAACAAAGGGATTTTTGCGATCACTGCTCAGGAAGCAAGTTGGTACAGAAAACATACAAATGTTAAACGCAGTACATTATGGACAAATATACAAAACAAACAGGAATAATGAATGTAAAAAATACAAATAGCTTAACACTGCCCCCATGTTTGTCCACTTAATTTGAGTCTTCTATATGCGATCTAAACGTAGTTTAGTTCTAAATTAATGCATAGATGGGGTGCATTAAGCATATTTTTGGCTATGCTCTTCCACAACTTCCGTGACAAAACATAAAACACGCCTTTGGTAATTCCTAATTCCGTCCGTAGTTTTTGTAATAAAAATCTATACCAATGAAGTGTACGTTATCATATGGAATTCATAATTATGCCAAATATAGCAGGCCTGAGTTGTGTAACAAGATAAACCTATCACCAGTATTCCCCATAACTGAAAGACTGCATTTTCAGGCTGAAGCTGCGTACACTTAATACCACACACGTAGAGTTGCCACTGGGACGCTCCCTAATTCCCTTGGCAAGATGACAGCAGGGCGGTGGCATAGCGGAGATGAGATTAGGGTGCTGTGAGTTGCTCTGAGAGCTTTGTGAGCAAGCTCCCTGTTACATGTGTAGAGGACACTCTCCTCTCCCCAAACACACAGAGACAGGTCAGGATTCCAGTCCGTTTATTCCACATCCATAACACACAGCTCCCTCCTTCATCCACAGCTCCCTCCTTCATCCACACCTCCCTCCTTCATCCATAGCTCCCTCCTTCATCCACAGCTCTCTCCTTCATCTATAGCTCTCTCCCCCTCTCATCCCTCCTCTGACATCCCCTCTCATCCCCACGGTCCCCTCTCCTATTTCCTGCCCATCCCCTCATCCCTTACACCTCATTCCCAGCTACCAATCACATATAATTACATCTCGGACTCTCCTCATCTCCCACCACCAAGCACAGTTGGTCATATCTCGGACCGTGTCTCCTCATCTCCCGCCACCAGTCACACATCATCACACCTCAGGTCACTCCTATCAACTGGTGATGTCAGTGTGTAGGGAATGGATATGATGAGGGGACCGCTGTGGAGGAGTGTTACACTGCATAATCCGTGTCCCTGTGAATGTAACTCTTGTGTTCTAGGACGTTCCTGAAGAATTTCTTTACGAAAACTAAAGATGTTCCATGCGGTGACAATGTAGGCATCAGTGTGCTCCTGCATTGTCCATTCTATATCTACTGCTGGGTGAAGGAACAACAACAACAACAATTAATTTGACACGTGAGGCACGATCCGGCGATGCGACTGCGGTACAGCGTGCGATGTAAGACAGTCGATAACGGTCGCACCGTCAGCTTTGCTCAAGGTCGTCGTATAGCAATAATTGTTGCTCATTTCATTCGTAAAACAGATGAAATTTTAATTCCTGACAATACATTTCTGAGATAACAATTGTTAAAGCGTTACATTTATAATTAAACATGCTTAAAAAGCAAATGGGCTTTTCCATTTCTGGCAAGAATACAAGAGGTGTTAAGACGTTTAAACATTGCAAGGCATCAAGTCTGCATTAATCATACATACTTGCGATAAAACATGCAAACAAACATGCTTTAATAACAATATGCATTGTCCTTGAAACTGATTGGCCTGCTCCAGAGACAGCCACCTTCACAGCTTTGTCTGACCAGTGTTATACTCGAAAACGCCAAAAGGTGAACAGCACAAAGGCAATGCAAATATCAAAGCATTAATAGCTCTGGTTGAACAGTGAAATCTACGGGGCCCTTTTTGCTGGCATCAAAATTATATAATGAAAAACTTTTGTTGGTCATACTGCAATGCAGTCATGCACAGGCACAATGAACAAAAACAACAATAGTGTGCTATTATGACAAAGCACCATTGTTCGAAACGTGTCCCAATCTATTGATTTTTATTTTACGGCAGTGTTGTTATGAGTGTTTCTTGTGCGCGTTAATTATAATTAAAATTGGTCGTGAAAAAATATTCACGACACAGTTTTCTTTGTTGGGTTAGATCGCGTAAATGTGTTATAAATCCACCTCCACCCGACACAGCCAGTTAGTAAGGTCTGTCACGTCAAAAGACCATGAGCATGTTTTACAATTTTAAATTGTGGTTTTGCTCTCTAACAAACCCATTATTGTCTTCTGAAGTTGTAACATACCAGGCACGTTCTGTTCACGTGACAAACCTTACTGATTGGCTGTGCCGAGTGGAGGTAGCTTTGCAACAGATTTACATTTACGTGATCTAACCCACGACAAAAAACACTTTATCATGAATAATATTGATCGCGAAAGCCTACTTGTTAGATTTTTATACACCTTCAATTAGGGCTTTTGGTAAAACTTCATGTTTCTTCTGAGGGCCAGTGGTGGCAATTATGACGCCATCGTTTGACCGTGTGCGAGGTCTGTGAGTAGTGGTGCGGATCGTGAACAAGTTACGGTGAGGAAGAATCATGGCTGGCAAAAATGTCGAGAAATATACAGTCTAAGGCTTAGACTCTAAGCGATCTTCATTCATACCGGAAGCACGGACAATCTCAGCAACAATGCGATAACTTGCCAAACTCCTCCGATATAAAAAAAAAAATCAAGCGTCAAAGCTGTGGAATGGTGCCGATGAGGAATTACCCCCAGTGAGGAGCTCGCATCTGGCTCCAATTCCAAATGGCTCAGATGGCAGAGCCTAAACAGACTGAGAGTGGGTGTCGACAGATGCAACTCTCTCATGAAATCATGGCGGGGTATTCTGCACAACTGAACAATGCGCTTGTCAGAAGAAACAAACCACGGATCATCTCCTGAGATGCCCTGCAACAGCCCAATGTACTTCATATTATTAGCTCTTTCGGTAAAGTCACGTTGAAGGGAAACAATAAAATAAAAAAATATAAGAATATGAATATAGGCATTTCTGTGACCAGTCACAAGCTAATCACTCAGCTATTTCAATGCTAAATTATATGCTAATTCCTTTGTCAAGGCGCTTTGTTTCTTCTCACACAGCTTAAAGGTCGCGATCTGAGCGTGGCTTTTTCGCTCCAGCGCTGTCCTCCAGACAGTCTCGTCCCTTCACCTGATGAAGGCCGCTTGTGTTGTGGTCGAAACGTCGTGAGAATTTTTATTGTTTTATATATATTTTATTGTTTCCCTTCAACGTGACTTTACCGAAAGAGCTAAGAATATGAATTACTGCAGTCACGAAAGCTTTAAATCCCAATGTACTTTTAAGATTTAGCAATGCCACACCAGAAGCGGTGGCCTGTGCAGAATATTGGGGAAAAACAATATAGGTTGGACGGGAGACACAATGAAGAAGACTTGCCAAACGCAACGGGTGCCACGATGGCTTGGAGATGTTAAATCCCTCGCCTGGTATGCAGAAGGTCGTGGGTTCGATCCTAACCCTGACGATGCCTTTTATATATTTGGAGGCTGTGCGTGTCTTTCCCCGTGGTGGTCGCGGGCATTTTTATCCACATTTAGAAACATGTGTTTAGAGTAGTTGCCTACTATAAATGATAAGCCAATTCGTTGAGCTATCATTTGTGGCCAGGTCGCTTCTGAATAGGAGCGATATTACTCAGTGGGCTTTACCTGGTAAAATAAAAAAATAGTTTCGTTTATTTTAATCACAGTTAATGGAAAACTGATATCGCGTTAATTGCCACACGGTGACATGTATTAACATATCGTATCGTATCATGAACAATGACATAGCAATAATTGTTTAATTAGCAGTTCTACGCAATTAAGAACAAAACATGTGTATCTGCTTATTATCCTCGTATTTAATAATTCACCGTGTAACAAAAAATGTTCTTGGGTAGTGTTATTTCCTAATTGCTTATGCCTCAAAGGTACAGAAAATGGCTATTATTCTCCACAAACTTTGCTTTTGTGACCAGGACAGTGATCTTTTGAAATTTACCTATTTTCAATGAGAAAACGTGTGCATTTGTGTCATTCCTTCACATAAAGTCCTGGTCAGTGTGGAGTTGTGAAGGCGGAGGGAGCATAGAAGTACGGTGCAACAATGGAGTGCTAGTGCTGCACAATAATCCTGTTCCGTGCGTGGTGGTCACCCATCCAAGCACGATCCGGGCTCTGCCTTGCTTAGATTCTGTCTGTGGAGATCGGGCGCATTTTATGCACATTTCTGAAGGTTTTAGGCACATGTTGACGATTTCTGGCGACTTCACCCTTTTCTGGTGATTTTGTGCAATTTTGGCGATTTCAGGCAATTTAGGGTGAATTACTTACATTATGAGACCTCCTTTGCCAGTAACAAGATATAGTAATAGGTTTTTACCCTCTTATCTGGTAAAAGGGTAAAAACCTATTACTATTTAGGGCGAATTAGTTGATTTCATTATAGGCTTTGTAGGCGTCTATTTCTCTATATTTCTGTATATATGTGCAGATGTGTCCATGTTCAATTTGCGGGTCCATATTCAATGTCCGGGTCCGTGTGTCAGAGGAAAGTTCACACACTGCGCTACACACTTAGCGACCCTCAAGTGGTGGCGGGGGAGATGTTGCATCTCTCTCCTCGCCTGCTACGCAGGACATCATGGGTTCTGTCTGGAGTCTGAGCGTTCTTTCCACGAGGGGGTCACGTGGATCGTTCTCCAGATTCCTCCGGCTTTGCTCCCTCCACGTTTAAAATCAACACGCACTTAGATTATTTAGTGAGTCCGTGGGTGAGCGGATGAGTGATTGATTAGGTGAGTGAGCTGGTGAGTCGCGAATGGGCGAATGAGCGGGTGGATGAGTGGGTTGGTGAGTGAGTGAGTGAGCGGATGGGTGAGTGGGTGGCCGCGTGGGTGGGTGGGTGGGTGAGCGGGTGATTAAGTGACTGTCTTGTTGTGACCCGCAGTGTGGATGAGACGATAATCAGTATCTGGCAGAGACTGAGACTCGACTTTGGTGGAGGAATCAATGATTGAAGTTGGCAGGTACAGGGAGCACGTTGTGTAAGATGTTTTGTAAAGCCTGATGGACGTGAATGAACATTTGCATCACGTTATCAACGACGGGATCATCGCCGTTTGTACACACACATGTTTACGCAATAGCTTATTGAATGTTCACGTTATAAATTAGCATTGAATTCAAAGATATCATCGGGTAGCTCAGAGACCAGAGCACTAATCCAGGCTCCAATGAGTGAACAAAAACAGAGAAAGATCCCTCCTATAGCCTTCACAGAATGTTGGGAGACCTATGAAGGCCTACATGGCAGCGCACGGTGGGGTGGTTGGCACCATGTATGGCCGCCTTTGTCTCTAAAGGCGATTTTTACACACCACACCAGGTACTAATTTGAGGCTAAGTCGGCGCAGGGGAGGGCCAGGACCGGTTCATATAATCGTCATTGGTGTTGGCCATGAGTAGGCATCGAAACCGTGTCGCCGGCACATAGCACAGTGCCCTAACCGTTACACTAGCGCTTATCCACCTACTCGGTCACTCAATCACCCACACTTTTTAATTCGGTCACCCACCCACCCTCACAGCCACCCAGCACCTGCAGTCGAACTTGTCCACGGCCACCGAAAGGTGGCGTGGGTTCTGCTGCCCGCAACGGTAGAGGTTGCCGTCGTCCAGGTGGAGGACGTCGACGTTGGAGAAGACGAAGCAGTCGAAGGGCGCCTCCAGGAGCACCTCTACGTAACCCACGTTTATCAGCTTGGGTGGTTGAATGTCCCGCTAGCAGCCCGGGTGGTGGCCACGGGGTGAGCACGGTGGGGGGTATGGTGGGGGCATGATACGGTGCACGGTGGGGTTGGCAAGTGGGCTGCAAGGGTCGGGCAGCAAGGGCAGCATCATCAGTAGCAGTGTCAGTAGGACGATAAGGATGTGGAGTGGATCCATTATCACCTCAGCTTGGCGCGGTTGAACGAGCCGCTCCCCGCCTGGCATGGTGGGTGCACGGGTGGAACTGGGGGGCACGGGGTGGGGTGGGAGCAGCGAGGGGCACGATCATCGTCAGCCGGAGTATCGGCAGTAGCAGCAGTATAATCATCAACACTATCACTAGCATGATCAGCATCAACAGCACTTTTAATAATGATCATCATCACTCTCATAATTGGATACCACAACCATGACCACCTTAATCACCACCACAATTGCCACGAGCACCGCGTTAATAATCATCAGCATCACCACAATCATTAATCACCACCTTTACAACCACCGTGATCATCATCACCCCCACTTGCAGCACCACCACCAACACCATCTTAATCATCATCATGCAGATATTCATTACAAATACCACTGAGGTCCACCCCCGCCTGCACCCCCCTGCCCACACCCCCCAGCGCGCACCCCTATTCGCTCACCTGGCTAACCAGGCAGACTGAGCCTGCTGTCTCAGGAGCATGGGTTGCAGCTGCCTGAGTGGCAGCGCCAGGTGGCGATCTCGAGCTCGGAACGGAATCACCACGTCAGCCGAACATCACCACCTCTATCGCGACCACCGCTGTCACCTCCACAATCAACACCATCACCACCAAACATCACCCTCATTATCACCTCAATAATCACCATCACCTCCATTGTCGCCATCATCATCATCACCACCATCAACACCTCCATCACCATCATCACTACCTCTATCACCACCACCACCACTGCCTCCACCATCACCGTCATCTCCGCCACCATCACTCCCATTATCTCCATCACGACCATCAACAATAACAACACCCGCCATTGGCCACAAAGTGGCGGTGACGTCACCACGGCGCCTGTGCTAGGTCAGGTGCACGTTGATGCCATGTGAAGTGACAGGAGGTAACGGGTCGGCCCAGGTGCCATGGGTTGAGTGAACAACAATCACCAGATCATGAGATCATCAATAGGGAGCCATCCCTCTACTGCACTCGGGCATCGATCAGCCTCCCATTGTATCTGTACCAGATGAAAATCCCTCCAGTATAGCTATGGAAAGCTTTTCGAACTACGT